CTTTATGGACCTTGAGTTAAGGTATTTTTTTTAATCACACCCAGATTTCTGCAGGAACAGGTTAACAGATAATTGAAGTAGTTGTTCATAATAAAGTTGGTATAGCTACAGTGTTAGGCACAGATATTTGTGTTGTAACTCTTCTTATGCATTTTACTTATTTTGTTTTTATTTAGGATCCCAATGAGAGACAGTTGAAATTCCTTTTGGGTCCACACAAGACACCATAAGTATCATATATGTAGTATAGCAAGAAACATAAAATAATTAAATGTGTAACTATGTGAAATTATATCTTGAAACAAAATACATTGTTTCAAAGCTTTTGTAATTATACAGAGAGATTGGGAACAAATTTTGTTAGAGAGCAGAAAATATTATATTTCAATGGCAGTATTTTATGTGGCATTCATACCAACCTTACCTTATGGCAATACTATGTAATCGAAAATTGTAATTCAATATGGTGACTCACCACATCAGGGTCCCGTCCGTCAACAAGAGTCAGGTCTTGCAGGGACCAGGTCTCCGTCCTCCTGTAGCAGTCCTGTATGCTGGAGCGTTTGGTGTGGGACCTCTTGGATCCAGACTTAAGAGATGGCTCCGATATCTGACATCGCACTATACATAACTGCACCACTTTGGTTTTTGCAACTGCAGAAAAATGAAAAAAAAAACACCTTTCTTTTTTTTTTCCAAGTAAACAGGTGCTGTGCAGCACAAGAAAATTCAGTTTTAAGTTTTACCTTGAAGAGGTAAAAGACTTAAAAGACTACATAGTCGGTGTTTAATACGACAGTACAAGGCCATATTCAGCTTCTATAGAACCAAAATATTCTGCATTATATTTGCAGAATTAAAAATCCATTATAAAGATTATTAAATGTCCTCATTAAAAAATTTTATGCAAGGATTTATGGCAAGAACACAAGATCTGACGTTGTGTTGAAGGGTTGAACATATCTAAAAATCCTATTTACCTGAGACACAAAGAAAATGTCTTCCATGCGACGGCTCTTCAATCTCAATAAACTCCACCAGTCTCTGTTTTGCAGGTCGGAACAAAACCCTCTGCATCTCCTCCCTCAGAAGAGACGACATCACTGGAGAGAGGAAGAGGAAAATCAAAGCTGGATGGTGGTGAGCCGCAAAAGAGTTGCAAGAGAAGAGATAATCGAAGAGAGAGAGTTGAGGAAAAAGATAACGAAGATCGTGACACCGGACAACAGTGAAACCTGGCAGTGGTAAGGGAGGGAGGTGGTGATGTGGTTCCTCTGGTCAGACTGGCGTGAAAACCTGTGGTTGTGGGTGAAACGGGCTATTACAAACACACACACACACACACACACACACACACACACACACACACACACACACACACACACACACACACACACACACACACACACACACACATACTCCACTCAGCAGCAGTCAGGTTAGATGAGCCATGTTAATCTTTCATTAAAGAATGACTTCATACCAACTGGCCAGTCTTTTCATCATGTTACCCTTTTATTACTTCAATTAAGATCCATTATGATGATCCTGATATTGACCCAGGTTTCCTGCAAATATGGATTTCACTCTTGTGTTTGTATTTACTTGACTGAAGTGTATCTAACAAAAAGCATAGATACACACTTTACCTGTAGTTGTATATGATTACACAGTATGTCCCCTCACAACACACACAGACACACTCTATCTTTCTTTCTTTCTTTCTTTCTTTCTTTCTTTCTTTCTTTCTTTCTTTCTTTCTTTCTTTCTGTGGTCTCTCTGTCTCTCCTCCACTCACTCACATATAGACGATGATATATAATGTGGCACACTGCCCAATGTTTGTCTGTGATTAAACGGTTGTTGTGTGGGAAAAGAATGTCCCACAGCACTCTGCATGGTTTCCATTACCCTGTAGTAATTCAATCTCTGAGAACAGGTACAAGTGGGGTGAAGCACTTAAATGGAGGGATTTTACCAGCACATAAAGGATGCTTCACTTCTTTAGTGATCATGGCTACACAAGACAAGTTGCTAGAGGTACTGAGAAGCAGAGAGAGCAAAATGTCACACTTATTAGCATGTTTTTTAAGTCCAAGTTCACGAGAGGTCGGTCAAAAAAAAGGTGGGAGGAATTTTCCATAAGCAGAACCACTCCAGAATGAGGCATACCACAAGAGTTGATTTGATTTGTTAGTAGGAAAGAGTGTGGCTCCATTGGATTTGTCACATTTGTGAAAACAAAGATGGGTCGTTCCACAGCTAAGTGCTTCATTGTTGTTGTTGCTGATGGTTTTTGTGGGTGTTCACTTGAAAGGCTTTTTGCCTCTGAGATGGAAAGATGAGTGGATGGGCAGGAAGTAGGGAGGAAATATACAAGTGTTGAATCTCATGAATAACACATAAGGTTTATTCTACTTACTTATCATAAACTTTAACCCCAGTAGGCCTATATCTGTCATGTGCATTGAAAGGATTATTATATGGAGAAATAATTGGAGAAATCCCAGAATTTGCACAAGAGAGTAGCTTTTGTAATGTGTGATAGAATGCACAACGATAAAAGCTGCAATAGTTTATTATTCAAATTCAATGGAAATGCTGCATTGATGTGTCTATATCTGTATTTTTAAGAACTTATAGTTGTGATGATTTATGTGAGCATTCCCATCATCCCTGACATTGCACTCTGTGAAAACATCAAGGTGATTAACATCAATAGGAAATGCAGTGATAGCAATTGTAACACTGTAAGAGGACATTCTGAGAGGAATTTGAAAAGAGAAGTATGCATGATTAGAGAGGATAAAGGTGCAAGCAAGGATGAGGAGTAGATAACTCTGCAGGGCTGGATGAAGTAAAATAAGCTGGGACAGAAGGAAAGGAAAAAAGAGATGCTGACGAAGAGATTAAAGGGAGACGCATCAGAGAGAAAAGACTATCAAGAAGTATAAGTCGCATTTTCAAAGAATATTATTGAGAAAAAAGCAGGAGAAGAGGGGAGACACAAAGGATATAGAAAACAAAGAGGGGGAAATATAGCAAAGGAGGACAAATGTGCAGACTTGAGGAGACAACAGAGGACCTGAAGAAAAGAGAGAAAGAAAGCAGAGAAGGTGAAAAAAAGATGAGACTGTGAAGAGGAATTAAGGACTATAGGCCTTAATACGGATTATGCAGGAAGATGTGATGGAGGAAGCAAAGATGAGAAAAGAGGGAGTAGATATGAAAAAGGGGGAGAATCTTCAAGAAGCAGATAATGACTAATCCGAACAAAGCATAAGAGAAAATGATGACAGGGGAAAGGGAAAGCGAGGGGGGCAAATTGAGTTCACAGAGACGAAGAAGATTGAAGAAAGTAAAAGGAGGCATGGAGAAATTCTGAGAAGGTGCAGTCAGCGGTATAAGCACTACTGGCACTACTATATATTAAATAAACAAGATGAGAGCTAATGAAAACAATTGTTTAATGCACAACAAGCCCAAGGCTGGAATTACAAGCATGCCAGTGTGAAAATAGGAACGTGGGCGGAAAGGAAAGTTGTGGTTTTGGTTAACATATGCAGTATATTATGGATTTTGTATGCATATTTTGTGGTATTTCAAAGTTTTAATTCATGGCGACCTCTTTCTAACTTGCTTCAACTGTGCTTCATCATTTCTATGTGTCACTTATGTGATCACCTTGCCTGTTATATTCTTCCTGACAATGCTGCAGCAATGCTTAAATATTATCCACCCAGCTACCTGCCTGTCATGGGTGCATCTGTTTCCCAATGAAGGGGGTTAGTAAGGTGGCAGAGGATGATAAAGAAAAGTCTTTTAGTGTTTGCTGACATCCGTGTAAACAAACACAGCGGTGTACGGAAATCTGGTTTGACTCACACACATTTTTTGCTGGAGAAAATAAATTACTTTTGCAAATGCTGCCTTTCCTTTGACGGAGTCGACTCTAGCCTTGTAGAATTTGAACTGCTCCACTTTTTATTATAACTATTATACTTTTATTATAATTGTTTTGTTTTTAATTCTAAAATAATTATGTAAGAATAAACAACTGTAGTAATTATCTATGTACAGCATCTTTTTAATCTTGAATGATTTAAATGTAGGTATAAATTGCTTGCAAATGAAGGCTGAACATTTCTATATGAACAATGGTGTATTCAAAACAGAGAGATTTAATTTTAAATGCACTATATGTCTTGATAACATAACATACATTCATAAAGATAATAACAGTAGGCCTATAAATAGCTATCACTTCAGCCATTATATGTTTACTGCAGCCCCTACATAACCAGACTCCTGTCATCTCTTTTCTCTAATGTTTATGAGTTTTGTATTTATGTCGAAAAAAGTTGTTGACGTTGTTTGTTTTCTCTGAGTTATGTTATCAAAGGTATGTCATTAGAAATGACAAGGGCGTTCGGGACAAACGAAATTAACATCTAATTAAAGAGGATATCTAATGTCAAATTGTACCATAATATAAACTTATGGGAACCTCTACACAGTAAAGGTGTAACGTCACGGCTCATAGAGCTTGCGATTGGATGTCGATAAAAGGGGAAACCCCTTTGCCATCAGACAGGGCCATCCCTACCCTGCTCTGCACCCTCCTGGCGATCATCCAATGTGACATTCACGATCCATTCACTGCTACCTAACCTAATCCTTTTTCCTGAAAATAATGTAGTGAATATTTAAAGTGCACATTAACATTATTGTGAAAATATTCATATAGATATATAGATATAGCTTTTTATCATTTTACATTTAAGTATGCAAATGCTTTATCAAAATACGGATTAGCTGGATATCTGTGGCTACTATCCCGGTCATTCTCGCTTTAAGTGCATTCATTTGCATGTCAGGAGGCAGAATCGCTACCTTGTACTTTTATTCTCTACCATATCAAAAAGTAGGTGGCACCGATAGTGGACTGGACTAGCTGGAAAAGCCACAAAAACACGCGGAGTCATTTCCCCTCTGTAGATCCTCTCCGTTTTGCTGCTACTGTACTTGCAAAATAGTGCGCCCTACTGTCTCTATTGCGCATGACTGTACGTCGTAATATGAAGTAGGCCTCCTGTTTTTCTCCCCAACCCGGAGTCCTCCTGGCCCCCACCACCTCGATGCAACGTTCAAGTAAGCAAAACACGCAGGCTGCTGTCGATTATTTGCGAAGGTAAGGATTTTTAATGCAAATATCCAAAGCCGATTGTGATATAGCACGGCCGCCGTGTTCGGTAAACGATGTGTGTGTGTGTTTTTAGCGTGCGGAAGCGGTCGGACTGCAGAGGAGGCTTCGGGACTGTTTCCGCACGCTTGAGGGAGAGCAAGGCCCAGTGACCCACATTCAGAGCAGCCAGTGTCTATGTGTACGAGTGGGCGAGCGTGTGCGCGTAGCCCTGTTAGTGTGTGTGTATATGTGTGTGTGTCTCTCTCTCTGTGTGTGTATCTCTCTCTCTGTGTGTGTGTACATACATCTGCCGCGAAAATGTTTCCACCATCGCTGGGTTTAGACGCTTCTCCGCCACCGACATTTATGTTTTTGACGGAATTTGCGAGGATCTTGTCCCGCTCGGATGTTTAGGCTCGGTCTTCTCGCGGCGTTTGAGGACCAACGGTAATATTTCACAGATTATTTTATCTTCAATGTCAGTTGTTGCGTGACAGCTTGAGGCTCGGCGCCAGCTTGCCTGGATAGGGGCTGATATTCCTCCTGCTTATTTTACAAACGTGAAGCGCTTTACCTGTCATAACTGTGTCATTCAGTGTTTGTGAGGGTAGCGTGAGAAAACGGGACCAGTAAGAGCATTAAATCTCTGAGTTAAATGGGCAGTTTTCGGTAGCAAGCTTAGTTAGCCTGCTAGCTAGCTATATGGGTTGCTCTCTTCTCGGTTGTATAACGAACACCTGTGGCACTAAAAGGTGTATTAAAATGTTGAATTGTGATAGCTTGTGTTGGTGGGCTGCATAACATGGTCTCCACTGGGTCATAATGCTAATATCAATGTTAATTCATTGGCACTGGTGTGCTGTGGCTAGAATCGCCCAATGAAGAAGCTCAGTGTAATGAGGCTTCACTTATTGGCCATCAGGAATACATGACTGTAGGTCAGGCCAGTGCCTCCCCAACAAGAGACCCGGGACCACCACGGGGTCCTCAAAATGGCTCAACTAAATACCTAAATCTCACTATTATCTCACACTAAAATCGGTACATTAAGAGTCTAGCAGGATGGTGATGTTATCCTAAGGTTTTACTGTACCCACTGTGACCTTCCTGCCTACAGTCATATCTTACAGCAAAATCCTGTTAAATGGGGTTCAGTGGGACACAGTGTGATCCAAGTTGTGGTCTGTTTTCCATCTGGTGTCTGGGACTGCTTGACAAATTTGGTAACAGCACTTTCAGACTATTCAACAACACACCACAAATTTGCTGGAGTCCTGAAATGTGCCACTTTGCCTGTTCAATTAATGGGTTAGCTGATTTAATCACAGCTATTTCTATAATCAATTCATATTTTTTGTTATTTTATTTTATTTTTTTATTTTTTTAGCAAAAATGGCAATGTAGCCATCTCTGGTTCAGAGAGGTTCACAAATGTGAGAATTAGAATTTTGGTTATATATGGTTATGGTTATATGGTTTGGATGGCAAGTCGGACAAAACAAGCTATCTGATGACATAGCCTTAGGCATTTTTCACTATTTTCAAATGATTAAAATAATCGTCACATGAATTGATGAATGAAAATGATATTAGTTGCAGCCCCACTGAAATTATTATTCAATTGATCTGCCTCATTGTTCAAGCAAAAATGCCAACAATCTCTAATTACACCTTCTCAACAGTGAGGGTTTGCTACTTTTCTTTATCTTATGTGATAGTAAACATGAATTTCTAAGTTTTAGACTGTTGGTGGTACCTTCCACAACACCTTTTCATTGAGAAAATTGTTGGCTGATGAATAGAGCTAAAACAATTAACCAATCAATCCAGCAACTATTTTGATATTTGATTAATTGTTTCAGTAATTTTTTTCCACCAAACAAGCCAAACATGTACAGGATCCAGTTTCCTGAGTGTGAAGACTTTCTGCTTTTGTTTTTTTAGATCATTGTAAATTGATTATATTTGGGGTGTGGACTATTGATCAGACCCCATCTTGACTTCATCTTGACCTTCAGCAATTTTAGGGCAATTTTTCACTATTTTGTCAAATTTTATAGACCAAACAATTGATAGGTCAATCTAAAAATCTACTTGACAGATTAACTGATAATAAAAAATAATAATTAGTTTCATCCTTAATCTTATTGTAGTATGAATATCTTTTTAGATATCGACTGTTTTGGAACAAAATAAAGAATTTGAAGATGGCACCACAAGCTCTGAGAAAGTGATGGGCATTTTCTGACAAATTATCAAACATTTTCTTAGTTGGTTGCCGCCCTCATTTCCTGTTTTTAACTTGCTGCAACTAACACATTTACCTGTTGGCCTCTAGAATTTGCATGCATGGTAAACAGTGAGCAGGCTGTGTGGTATGTTTGTTACTCAGCCAGGGTTTTTTTGTGTTGCAGGTGAGGTGTGGCTTACACGTGACGTGATTTGTCAGTGCCTGGAAGGATAGGATCTAAAACTATTACTTTGCCTTCAAGGAGACATTCCAGAAAGTAAGTTTAATCATCTCTTTTCTTTTAATAAATGGGTCACTGTCCTCCAAAAGAAGTACTCTTACTAATACTAATAATGTAAGCATAGTAACTGCTTTTATTCAGGATTTCCTTGCTGCGCTGATGTAAAGTTATTCACACTTAATAAATTAAGATTGAATTTCAGGACCTTTAAACAGTCTTGATTCATAAAATCCGTTTCATTGGTTATTGATTATTTATTTATTAGTAAGTTGTTTAGAATTATTGTACTCGTAACAAAACAGCTACTGTACATTTTTGCAGCAAGGTTCTATTTTAAATATGCTAAATTACACACACTGTAACATTGGTTAAAAACAGTGATAAAAAGATTGATAAATCGGTAAACATGATCTTACACTGACTGGTAGCTCATTGGTTTGTTATAATTTAATTCGATATGTAAATGAGCTATAATATTCTACATGTGAAACAGAAGCAACAATGGGCAAGGTGAAAGGTATCTCAAATCAAATAAAGGTTTTTTTTTTTTTTTTTCTCATTTATGTTTTTTTATTTTTTCTGTATAGGACAATTTAACTTATAAAAATCATTATTTGTTACCGGCAGTTGCGGCTGCACCGTGGCAGTAAAGATGGAAAATGTCTAAAACCTGTTCTCAAATCAATTCAATGACTCCACATGACCTCACATGACCCCATTTTTCTGCTCTGATTTCTCCCGCAGGTTTGGTCAACCACCATGTCTTTCCTGCGGTCTGGTGCCCTCTCGTGACCCCAATGACCTCGACACCAGTTTTGACCGTAGAGTCAGCTTTGACCCCAAACCCTTTCTACGACCCCTGAGAAGAGACGTTAACTGACCGCGCACATAAGCTGCAGTGGGGTGAGAAATTACAACATACACACTTGCACACATTTACATATCACACACTAACACACAGAGCTGTTTTGTGATAAACTTAGTTTATGAAAGAGTTTAAAATTTGATCATGCAGATAATTCCTTTTAACTGAGTAAGTTTAATTACATTATATTTAGATGTATGCTTCCTAACACATGTTGCAGCATATGTTATAAATGTTCTACTCCCCATTAATATGGTCTTCATCAGACATCTGTGCTAGGATTCATTTTGCAGTTAAGATGACACTAGAAATATTAGTCATTTGTGTATTGAAGTATAAAAGTAGCCATTACATTAAGCCAATTATCTGAAGCCTTTGGAAATGCTAATGATTGTGATTAGTGTTTGAGAGCAACTCATTGGGTAAAAAAAACTTACTTGAAATACCAAATGTGTCTATGTGCGTATTTATTTTTATTGCATGCATCAAGAAGGAGTTTGAATCAACTTTACCTGACTCTGTAGGCTTGGTCTATTCTCATAGGAGACCTCAGTTAACCTGTTTGTCAAGATAAGTGTTTGTAAAATGAAAGCAACTAATTGGGGGTGAGAATCTTTGTGATTTTGTGATTTTATTTTATTTCCTGATGTCATGCTTTTTGTGCTTTTACTGCAGTGTAATGGGTGACAAACCATTCAATTATGTCTCTCCAGGTGGTCTTCCAAATGCCTACCTCACGCCTAAAGAGCAATTCACTCCAGCCACAGCCCTGATCAGCAGCCACCATGACATCAAGCATAGGGTATGTAGGGTACACACACACACACACACACACACACTACACTCAGTAGCCACTTTAATAGGTACACCTATTCAAGCGAAGACATATCTGCCATAAAGTCTACCTTTACAAAGTTTATATTGTTAAGTTCTTGTATAGTTAAAGGTGGTTTTGCACTTGAGTTTTTCAAATTTTTTTCTCCTCCCTATTTGCATACATTAGGGGGCAGAATATTAAGAACAACTCTGAATATAATGCAGTCCATTTTAAACACGACCAATAACTAAGACATCAGCGCTAAAACATATATTTGACTTAACACACCCATGACATTATCAACAAAGACTGATCACAGTCGGCATCATAAAAGTAGACTTTATAGCGGAACAGTTTTATTGGATTGTATTAGATTATATAGGTGCACCCAATAAAGTGGCCATTGAGAATTTTATGTCAGTTTATCATAGTGGAAATACGTGTAGACTATACACGTACAAAATATGTCCAGATATATAAGTTTGCAAAAACATAATGGTGCTTTATCAATCAGTTATTGCAAATGGAATTATTATCATTATTATTATTAAATTGCATGCTACAATAAAAAAAATCTTAAGAACACTGATTTCTTGCCATTTTAAGCATTAAAGTAGTATTTTATAGGTATTAAATTATAGTTTGAAAAAATGTTCATCAGTACAAATGAAAGTGTTGTAGTGTATTGACCTACATTAATTGAAACGTAGGCAAGAACACGCCTTGTTGCACAAATGCACACGCAACCTTCTTGGCAAGCAAAACACATTCCTTCTCTCTCCCTCTCTCTTTCTGTCTCACTCTATTTTTTTGTGTGTGTGTGTGTGTGTGAGTGACCGACCCAAAAATAAACCTGTGCCTGTCATGCAGGAATCCTCTCATTAGCCAACATCTGTCATTAACTATTATTAACAATGCATATCTGCTTTCAAGCTGCCAACAAACGTGCACACACAGGAAAACAATAAAGGAAAAGTCTGTAAATACTTTTTTCTCCTCTTGTAGGGATGATTGTAGCATCTTTGATGGGTTGATGGAAGAAGATGAAAAGGACAAAGCAAAACGGTAAGCTAGATATATAGATGATTAGTATAGTGTGTGTTTAATATGAGTAAACCAATCCTTCTCATAAAACATTACATGCTATTTAAGGGCTTGTATCGTGTATGGGAACTTTTTTAGCTACTGTAGAGAATATACCATGTCAAAAGACTTTATTGAATGCCATACATCTAGTTTACATCTGGTTACATCTGCTCATTTTCGGGGTTGTTGTTATTTCTGTAAGTCAATAAGTAAAGCAAAAAATCTATGACTGAATCACATTTAGAATCTAATTTATCACTGTGTTTTGGATCCTAGCGTGTCCCGTAACAAGTCCGAGAAGAAACGGAGAGACCAGTTCAATGTCCTCATCAAGGAACTCGGCACGATGTTGCCTGGCAACACCAGGAAGATGGACAAATCCACCATCCTGCAGAAAAGCATTGACTTCCTGTGTAAACACAAAGGTCAGGGCTTTCTACCATCCTCACCTTGCTTCTTGTGTTTATGTTGAGCACCTCGCAGGACGGACACTTCTTGTTCTATATTTAGCTTTATTATTCTCTCTTGTGAACGCGGCTGTCAGTGCTTGTTTACTGTCATCACTAGAGCCTGTTGGAAACACTTTTTATTATTCTTTTTTTATGAGACATGGTCACTGTGTATATTGTTATTAAATTAGGTTTAACCTTCCGGCTGTGTATTGTTGACATAATGTGTTATGATTAATGATTGTGGTATTTTTGAATTCTGTGTTTGAGCCGCTTTAGATCTAAATCCTCTCACCGTCTCTCTCTTCATTAACTTAGCTGATGAACACCTGAATATTGAGATTCCTTTATGCTGAAATATTTAATTAATGCACATGGATTACTACCGCTTTCGATCCTACCTCTTTTTGCTGTGCATGTTAATTAACTTATCATTAGCCTCTTTATCAGTTGTCACTGCTCTTGTGTACTGTGTTATCTAGTGTTCTGTTTAACTGCCTTGTTTTCACTCTGAGCCTTGAACTATCAATACATTTTTTTTACCATCCTGGCCCGTGTTATTTCCGGCTTTTTGTGGGGAGTCTTTTATGTCCTTTCCTCTCTTGACTTTTTCCTTATCTTCCTCTCTCTTTCATCAGAGATCGCCGCTCAGTCGGAGTCGAGTGAGATCAGGCAGGACTGGAAGCCTCCATTTCTTAGCAATGAAGAGTTCACCCAGCTCATGCTGGAGGTCAGAAACCTCACGTTTTCTACTGTAATCCTGCCTGCTAGGAGACATTGAATTACAATTTTAAATCTGTTCTGATTTAAACAAAGTCAAACTCTTGACAGCCTCCATCTTGTACTTATTCTACTGTTGTAGCTCAACATATCACCCTGTTCTTCTTGTCCTACATTATCAGGCTCTGGACGGGTTCTTTATAGCAATAATGACGGATGGCAACATCCTCTACGTCTCTGAGAGTGTCACCTCACTACTAGAACACCTACCGGTGAGTAACACTGGTTCTTTCTTTAGCCTGGTATGTATTAGTCATCAGCTGTATTGTAGACATGCTTAAAAGGGATTTTATTTTTTGTTCTTCAGATTTAAAATGTCAGAATGACCTGTGTGTTCTGAATGGGGTCTGGCCTTTCTCCTGATTTGTGTGTGTGTGTGTTCTCATGCATGTATGTTTGTCTTCCTCAGGCGGACTTGGTGGACCAGAACCTGTTAAACTTCCTGCCAGTTGGGGAACACTCCGATGTGTACAAGGCTCTGTCCACGCACCCTACCGACCCCGAGAACCTTAGCTCTGATTACCTGAAGAGTCAGTAACACCATTTTACACCATAGTGTCTGGTTATTTCAACATTATCCAATAATTGTATTAATTGTATATAAAATGTAAAATGGGAATGTTTGATCAAGCATTTACTTCTGTATCTGTTTTTTTATTCACATAACTAATTATTGAGTGTTAATATTTAAAGAAAATGAGACAGAAACAAAACAAAATAAACTGAAAACCCACATTTATCCTACTAACTGTAATAAATCATCGTATATATCTCTGTCAAAAAATGAAAACACTTAAAAATAGGGTTTTCATAGCTCAGTAGCTAATTTTGTTAGTCTGGTTCATCTTTTGTCTGTTAGGAAGCAATTCGTTGGATATAAAATAATCATAGCCCAGAGCCATCTTCTCAGATTGGAACAACCTAACACAGTTAATTCTTAGTGTAGCAACATGCATCAACACAAAAGTCTGAAAATACTGGCTTAATTTTTGCATGATGCTTGAACAAGATTGTCTCTGTTTTGTCTTGATTTCAAGAACCATGATTTTACTGGATGCGACCACATTTTTTATTTTTCAGTAACTTGCATAATTTTTTTTCTCCAGCTAAGAATCACATGGAGTTCTGCTGCCATATGCTACGAGGGGCCATTGACCCCAAAGAACCCCCCGTCTATGAATATGTGAAGTTCATCGGCAACTTCAAGTCACTCAACAACGGTGAGCCATGTAGATAGCGATGTTTTGTTAATTTTAGTCATTGAAACAATATTGCATGTGAGATATTTTAGATCAGCTAAAAGACTTAAGTCAGGTGACAATAGCTTGAAAGTTAAAATATTTATATCTTTGCTGTTTTGCCTAACAAGCATGCATGTTCATGGGAACGTCCACAAGTAGGAAGTGTCACAAAACTCTGTTCAAGCCCATTTAAAGTAAAAGTTAATAAAAGAAGATTATCATTTGGTCAATGCACATATTTTCCAAGTGTGAGTGTCAAACACTTGACTTGAGTGTGGTCATTGTATGCCACAGAGAACCACACTGTATCTTTCTTGACTCTGTTCTCTGTTGTGTAGTTCCCAACGTGACGAGGAATGGTCTGGCAGGGGTGTTACAGCGGTCGCTACAACCTGCATTTGACGACCAGGTGTGCTTCGTAGCCACAGTCCGACTGGCCAAACCTCAGTTTATTAAGGTACACTGCTGACACACACAAACACACACACACTCAAGCAAAATCACACAGTCATTAATTAACCATTTTATCTTACATACCTTTACATACCTTCTCCCTTCTCTCTTTATTGTTTTATTAGGAAATGTGTACAGTGGAGGAGCCCAATGAAGAATTCACCTCCAGGCACAGTTTAGAATGGAAGTTCCTCTTTTTAGACCACAGGTAAACACACAAACACACACATGCCATTATACTGTATCATACATGCATGTCAGACAGTAGAATGGTTGGATTAGAGAAGCTATGTCTGGTCATTTCAACTTCCTGAAATGGACGATCTGAAATTCACACCCAGACTGTGCCAATGATTGGTAATCTGTGCAGAGGTGAGGAGGGAGCCAGGGTTTGAACTTCTGTGGCTCTTATTTTTCATTCTTCACACATCTAGGTTTATCCCCTTTCCAGCTGAGTGCAACGCTGTGAATGTCTTTCAGAAGAAACTGTCCAAAAATTTGTCATCTCCATATTCAAATGATGCCACATGTGGCCAGTGTGGCCATTCTGAAAGACTATAAGCACTTTTGACTTATATGGGGACAGACAACTTGTATATATAAACCGGACCTATAATAGTGTAATCCAAACGTGTCTTCTTTCAGAGCTCCACCAATCATAGGCTACCTGCCTTTTGAGGTCCTGGGAACATCGGGGTACGACTATTACCATGTGGACGACCTGGAGACACTAGCCAGGTGTCACGAACACTGTGAGGGCTATATTTAATTCAATTTTTTCTAGAGAATTCTTTGTAAAAGCCTTTCTCTGCTTGTTGTTTCTAACATCTTTGCTCTTGTCTGCCTCCATCTCTCCTGTTCAGTGATGCAATACGGTAAAGGGAAGTCTTGCTACTACCGTTTCCTGACTAAAGGTCAACAGTGGATCTGGCTGCAGACGCATTACTACATCACCTATCACCAGTGGAACTCTAGGCCTGAGTTTATTGTCTGCACACACACAGTAGTCAGGTACTGGGGCTGAATGCTGTCTCATCTTCCCTTGTTATCTGTATCTTTTACTAATGGGATGTTTATCAGATATTTCTAGACCATTGTGCAGATTCTGATAAAAGCCAAAATCTTCTAAATTGTCTTCACAACTCTCATGCACACCACTTTCTTGCCCTGTAATTTGCTGTCCCTAAACCTCTCCCTTTTTTGCCCAAAATGCAGCTATGCAGAGGTGAGGGCAGAACAGCGTAGAGAACTGGGTATTGAAGAGTCTAACCCAGAGGTGGCTGTGGATAAGGTGAGAAATTACTAATAGAAATCTATACTCATATGTTTTCATTAATGCATGCACTGTATTATTAAAGTAATACCAATACAGTAGGTTATGTATGCAAGACAAAGTGTTCAAAAATATATTTTTTATTTTGTTGAATATGTGTATGACTGAATAAGAGAAATAAAACCGCACTATTCCTCGGTAATTGAGCTTGGATTAATTGATTGACTGAAGTTTTGTACCTTTTTACTAACAATATACATATCACAATATGTGTATATCATTTTACAAATAAATTCAGCTTCTTCATGGCCCATTGTGTTTTTAGATATGTCAAAATGAAGGCCAAAAACTTTTTAATGTAATCTGTTTCAAACAACAGGAAGTTAAAGGCCTATTTCTTACTTATTTTTCATCCTATTAACTTTTCTTATGTGTTACATTGTCTACAAATCTTTGTTGTTCTGTGATGTTATGTCAATGAGTGAGACTCTCCCTTTGGTCAGTGATTGCATCAAGATGAAAACAACAAATTAATCAAACTTTGTGTGGAATTCACAAACAGATACGACACTAGGAGAGCGATTGTTGATCTCACATTAATATACACATGCGGTGTGTTTGCTGTATGCTGTTGTGGGTTCTATCAGATTTAATGGATTTTTTTCTAGAATGATCCTTTACCGACTTACCCATTAGCCATGTCATTGTCACCTGTATGCAGTCTGACTTTTATTTTTGTGCATTTTTCCTCTGCTTGTCTGTGTTTAGAGTCAGGACTCCGGCTCAGAGTCACAGCTGAACACATCCAGCCTCAAGGAGGCTCTGGAGCGATTTGACCACAGCCGAACACCCTCAACCTCCTCACGGAGTTCCCGGAAGTCCTCATCACATGTCTCTGACAACACTTGCACTTGTAAGGAGACACACACACACACACACACACACACACACACACACACACACACACACATACACACACACACACACCCTACCATATACTCTAAAGTAAATTGAGTTTAATGGGATGACGAAGCCCTGCAGTAAGACGATATGTTATCATCAGCATGGTCTGAATAGGACTCTTGCTCATCAATGATTCTTTCTCTGCAGCAACAGCATCCAAGCTACACATGGACACGGCCACGCCTCCTCGGCAGTCACTAGCCTCCACCATGGAGATGACATCACAGCGCCGCTCATCCATCAGCAGCCAGGTGAGACTTTGTTGGCCACAAAAAGTTACATATAGCAAACCATAATGCTCTGTTTGTACAGAAGCTGATTTTTTTATATATCACATACAGACATGGGATTTAATTCACTTAATGCTGTTTTGTAATGCACTGGAGTTAAGGAAATTCATACATTGCATTTGTCTCAATACTGTTGATTATTTTTGTATTTGCAGTCTATGAGCTCTCAGACCACAGGCCAGAGTGTGACTCCAGGCATGATCACACAACAACAACAACAACAACAACAACAACAGCAACAACAGCAACAACAACAACAGCAACAACAGCAGCAGCAGCAACAACCACAGCTACAGACAAACGTACAGGTGAGAATCATGGTACTATATTTGGGTACTTCCATCACAAAATTATGTGCTATTGAGTAGAGCTGAAACGTTAATCACTTCGTTAATTACTTGGTTGGTATTCATTGTATTCTGTGATAATAAACTGTATACTTTTTAGGTTTTGAACTAGTGGTTGGACAAAAAAGATATTTTAAAGATGTCTTATTTTTCACTATTCCCTGCCTTTTTATCAAACAAATAATAAATGATAAATGATGGAGAAAATAATCGTCAGACCAACCAATAATGAAAATCATCATTAGCTACAGCCCTGATATTAAGTTTGTTATGCTCAGTTGCAAGTGTTTAATGAACACTGGAATGTAATACTGCTGAAGGAAGTGACCTATTCTTTTTCTCTACACTCACAGCCGGTGATGGAGTTCTCGGCACAGGTGAATGCCATGCAACACCTAAAGGAGCAGCTGGAGCAGAGGACCAGAATGATCCAGGCCAACATCCAGAGGCAGCAGGAGGAACTCAGACACATCCAAGAGCAGCTGCAGAGAGTCCAGGGACAGGGCATACAGGTAAGATGCAGATAGGTGTCAAGGCAGCAGCATTTTACAATGTAAAATTTAGCATTTAATTTAGGTCAAGTTTGCTTATTGTATATTTATAAAGCTATAGTATAGCATAGTTCTAATGTTTTTTTTAGTTTAAATGTGCTCCAAAACATTTGTTCCTAACTTGTTCATAACACACATAACACAATCTTAAAGTGGAGAGGTGCTGTCAGAAGCCTCTGTAACACCGACTCATTAACAGCAGAGACATTCTCCTCTAAAGTTTTTGATTGAGCATTGCCCTACTAACCAGTCAGAGAAGGCCAGAGTCATCGGTGGGAGCTAACAGCTGTCAATCAATGCATGAACATGTTTCTGGTTCTGCTACTCCTTTGGCACTGAGGCTTCAGGATAGTATTAGCTGCTGGAAGACGTCACTATAACTGACCGAAACACTAGCAAGCTCCCGATTCCTGCATTAGCTGAGACAGCAAACATGACAAGGATATAGGTGAAAGGTTTGGCGGAGTATAACGGAGTAGGGAGAGGCAGGAGTTTTGGTTTTGCTTTCTCATACTAGCGCTACATTGGTTTCCAGAACTTGTGTATTGTAGCTTTAAATTTAGTCTATTGTTTACTGTCTTAAATGTGACAGTTATAATGTTGTGCACTAATGTCTCACCATTTGAAATCTCCTTATTCCCAGTTTAATTTAGTTAGCGTTGGATGGAAGAAACACAGTTAATTGATAATTTAAGACATGAAGCAGTATATGTATATACTTAACTGCACTTTTACAGCAAAAGAAAATGAATTATATAGAGCTGTCTTGGTTTACTGAACAGGTTCATTTTACCAACAACGTAATTGCATACTCGCCTTTTGAAACGTAATTTTTTTTTAACACAATCATGAGCTCAGCAGCAGCATTTTCGTTTTTCCCCAAGATGTTTTCCAAATTTGAAAAATCCCTTACTTGAACAAAACTGGCACGCAACCCCTCCTTTTTTAAAAAGATCAGTCAGTGTATTGTGCTTTGTCTTTTCCCGTGGTGTTGTACCTGGCTTTGCCTGACCTAGATCAGGCCTAGAAGCAATGCATTATGTATTATTTTTGTTCTTTTCAATGGAAAACACAATAACAGATTCACTGCCTGCATGTGTAGCCTGTAAAGACAGTTTCTCTCAGTAAATTGTTCTGTTATGACAATGAACACATAATGAGATTTGGTACAAAAATGTACAAAAATAACTGCAGGCAGTGTGCACTCAGAGCACTGTGGGTTGACTTGTGGTGTTTTGATTGTGACAGATGTTGCTGCAGCAGCAGGGTGGAGCGATGAACGTACAGCTCCCTCAGGTGGGGTCAGTCCAGCAAACGACTACTTTGACCAGTCAGGTCCAGCAAACGACCATTAACCCCGTCCATTCAGGAACTCAGCAGCTCACCATCCAGCAGCAGGCACCCCCCCCTCAGCAGGCCCTACAGCAGCAGACCAACGCCCTCACACAGGTGGGACACACACACACACACACACACACACACACACACACACACACACACACACACACAGACACACGCACACACACTAACAGGCCAGCTTGTGCACTCTTCATTACATTCATTACATTGATTATGATTTAAATTAGCCATATCTCAAACTTGAGAAGGGAAAGATCCACAATGTATACTATGTCCAAGGTCATCTGAGATCATTCATGTTGTGTGAACTTTTGACACTGTTGGTCACATTTATGAGGAGAGTTTCTCAAATTACAGAAACAAAGTACTGTTCTGTGGAGTGGTAATGTTTACATCTCATTCAGATGACAGGAAGTGCCACAGGGAATGCTGTTTGTGTGTTTAATCATGTGAGTCACAGAATGCTCACAGGGCCAGTAAAGTTGTGTAAAGCATATTTAACATGGTTTGATACCCTCTGTACTCTGTATTATGTATTATTACAAAGGCAAGCATACAGTAAGCCAAATGGTTTCTCACCTTACTATATCAGGTTTTTTCTAAGTCTAAGTTGCTTCAGTACAACTTTTCCCAGCCCATCATCACCTTTTACATAGACATCTTGCTACTATACATAAAAATGTGTTGAGTTCAGACTTCAATTTATTTTCATTCTCTGTATCCTCATGGTTTTATGATCTCTTTAATGTATTTTAAGCTTTGTTCAAATTGTGCGTGTACCAATATGAAATGGGGGAACTAAGAAAACGTGCAATAATTTCCAAAAAATAAGTTTCGAGTCAATCTACTGTCTAATTCATGTCATCTCCCTTCCTACATCTCCACTTTGCTCATCTCCAGCCCCAGCGTCAATCCCAGCAACCTGCCCAGGCTCAGCCCCAGACCCAGGGCTCTGTATCTACTCCACTGTACAACACCATGATGATTTCCCAGCCAGGGCAGCCCAATGTGCTGCAGATCAGCACCAGCCTGCCACAGAACAACACACCGCAAGGCACAACCGTGGCCACCTTCACACAGGACCGACAAATCCGGTAAGAAGACAAAAACCAAAACTGATACTTGTCGACATACAGTATGATTCATGGATCCTGTAATGCATCTTTTTTCTTCGTTTTTTCATCTTCCCTCTTTTTCTCTTATTTCACCCTCTCCAGTTTCCCAGCAGGGCAGCAGCTGGTGACCAAGCTGGTGACAGCTCCAATGGCATGTGGCGCAGTCATGGTGCCCACCTCCATGTTCATGGGACAGGTGGTCACCGCATACAACCCCTTTGGTGGGCAACAGGTAAGGACAAAGCCATATGACTCATACAGAAACTAAAGAAAGCGATCTGGCAGAGATCAGGAATGATTATGACTCTGAACATCACTGAGGCACATTAGCATCCAGCTGCTCAGTGTCGACAGATTGTGGTCGAAGTGGGAGGCCATGTGAGGGAGTGTTAAATAACGTACATTTTAACGCTTAGTGGGAAAAATTGGCTTCCTTGATCAGCACATTTCTTTTGGATAAATGAAATCTTGGAAAGAAAAGGTTACCTATTTTGGTAAAAGTTACTGTGAATCCAAAACATAGACTAGTGTTTTGGTCTGAAAGCATTTTCAAGAGAATAAGTCAAGATAAAGTTTTTCCTCTTTGAATTACTTAACTTTCGTCAAATTTTTGAAACCTAATAATTAGTCAAAGGACTAACGGCACCAAAGACTTGTAAATTATTTGTGAAAAAACTCCAAAAATATCTTGGAAAGTTGGAGTCTTTGAGAATCCAATGACAGGTAACATAATAAATAGTAGTAAAAAGCAGTAAATGGCCTTCAATATTGTAAACAAAACTTCTCTGTCCTTCCTTATCACCCTGTTGTTCTGTGTTAACTTCTGTGTCACTTCAGCAGGGAGGGCAGACCCAAACCTTGACTCTGCAACCAGCCCAACCACCTCAAGCGCAGCCAGATGGCCAAAACCAGACAGCTGTAGTGGCTCAGAGCGGCCAGCAGGGGCAGCAACAACAACAGCAATTTCTACAGGTAACAGTAGAGGGTAGCAAATGTCATTGATTTAAATAAGCATCTTTAAGACAAGGTATCATGTTATATATTTATTTTATTTTAGGGAAAATGTTGTCTTAATGCTGCAGTAAATAATTATAAAATAACCTCTGTTTACAGAATTTTTACAATATTCTGAGTTGTATGAAAAGAGAGAGGGATTCATTGAATCAAGTATTAACTGTTTCATATTTTAATAGTCTTGCACTGTTCTTCTGTCAGGGCACTCGTCTTCTTCATAGTAACCAGTCTACTCAGCTGATTCTGCAGGCAGCTTTCCCACTCCAACAACAGGGCACATTCACCCAGGCAACACACCAACAGCAAACACAGCAACAACAACAACAGCAGCAGCAGCAGCAGCAGCAGCAGCAGCAGCAGCAGCAGCAGCAAAGGCAACAGCAGCAGCAACAACAACAGCAGCAGCAGCAATCTCACCACCAGAGGCACCAGCAGCAGCTGAAACCACAGCCCCAGAAACAACAGAAAGCCCCAACATCGCACAGGACTGACAGTGTCAGCAGCCAACCACAGTAAAGTATGGAGGAAAACATGTTATGCTAGAAAACCTGGGGGAACTGAAACTCGTAAGGAATTGTGGCATACATTTGTTTTGGTTGTGTGGCTGCCACAAACTTCCTTTCCCCCAAAATGCCCTCCTTTCCTCCAGCTGAAAGAAATTAATCATAGGAAAGAGGAAAGAGTCCACAAGGAACTCACTGAGGATTGTCACCATGGCAACAGGATGGATTAAAATCCCCTTTTCCCTCACCAGAGGCGGAGTTGTGAGGGATCTCCAGTCTCCGTGGAAAGCCCACAAAAATCCAGAGAACACCTTATCGCCACGGTAACGACTGACTCTTTTTGAAGGTGTGTCAAAGTGGACTGACCGTGTACAGATTTACTGTATGATAAAAAAACAAACTTGTAAATATCCAGTATAGCCTAACAGGAAACAGAAATGTAGTATTTTATATGATTGCATGGAAAAAATAACTGTGTAAGCTTTTATTAGCCGCTTTTGAAAAATGAATTTTTACTTTGTTCAAGTGTTTTCTGGTCAAAGATGGAGCGGTGACGTGCTCTCTAAGACCCCCCTCTCCCTCCCCCACTTGTCTCTTTTAGAAAAAAAGTCCAGAATGAGTCTTTAAAGTTCTGTCAGTTTGTTTAAAAAATGGTTGGGCTTGGGTTTTTTTTTTTTGTGGAAGTTGTGTTTTTAAACACTGTGTCTCTGAGACAATAACGCTCTTTTTAACTTTGTAATCACAAATTATGTTTGGCAAGAAACTAGATTACAGTTGAACTGAATTATTTGCAGGATGATCACTGTACGTATAACGGGTTTAGTGATTCCAAGTGCCAATAACATAGTCAATTTTTTTTTGAGCAAACTATTCAAAGGCGTATATATTTTTCAACAAAATATTACCCCTAATAAAGTTCATGCGTGTGTATATAGTAGGGATTATTTTTTAACAGTCAGAGAGCCCTATACGTAACAAACAGTATATCCTCAACCTCCTGAAACTTTAGCACTTGATGTGGTTGTGTACAGTAAATCACTGTCGAGACCTAGTTGTTTGTAATCTGTGGTGTGATTCTGTGAGTTAATGTGTGTTTTTGGGGATACAATCTTTGTGTGTGCGCATGAGTGGGCATGAGAGTCTCTGTGATTGTGTATGTTTGTCGCCCCTTGTGTCTTACAATAATTGACTTAGTAAGGGTTTGAAGTTGCTGGATGGTACTTGTATTCTCAGGAATGTGGAAAGTTTTGCTTCTGCCTCAGTCTGGAACCAGACCATGAAGGATTAGACAGTGATGCTGCAAAGACCAGAGGAAGAATAGTCATAAAGGGTGTGGTGACTGAATCAAATCTGACCCAGATTTCTAAGAGCCTTCCTCATTTCCTTATCAAAGGAAAAAACAGAGGTTGACTACTCCATAGGAATAAAGATGTAGATGGAGGAGGGTGTTGTTGAGATAAAGTAGTGCAGAAATATATAGAATCCCCTCTCAGCTTTCACTCAGATAGAAATCTACTGACTTCATTGTAACATCAAATCCGTCTCATGGTCTTCTGTATCATCAGTGTTTCATCCTTGTTTCTCTTCCTAGGCCTCAGAAACCCTCATGCAGTTCAGTTCACTTGTCTCTCAGTTCTAAAACAGCAGTTAAAACCAGGACTGGGCCTAGGTCCATTTTAAATTTTGATGGAAATGGGCTCAGCTCCTGTACTACAGTTGTAAGCCATATCGAACAGAAAAGCCTTGGATTGGAGGAAGTTTAATGGTTGGCAAAGGAGCATTTTGAATGTGTTGTTTTGTCTCTGAGTGTAGTAAAGAGTGTTTGTGTGTGTGTGTGTGTGTGTGTGTGTGTGTGTGTGTGTGTGTGTGTGTGTGTGTGTGTGTGTGTGTGTGTGTGTGTGTGTGTGTGTGTGTGTGTGTGTGTGTGTGTGTGTGTGTGTGTGTGTGTGTGTGTGTGTGTGTGTGTGTGTGTGTGTGTGTGTGTGTGTGTGTGTGTGTGTGTGTGTGTGTGTGTGTGTGTGTGTGTGTGTGTGTGTGTGTGTGTGTGTGAGAGCGAGAGCGAGAGAGAGAGAGAGAATATAGTGTCTCCTCTTCTTGATCCTACTTGTATCACTCGGGGGTCAGTATTGGTTTCCCCTGGCGATAGCCAATCAGTTCTTGCGTTGCAGTATAAAGAAATAATTGTAATATTCAAGAAACTTCCACTCTGGTTAGGCTTAGTATTCTGCAAGCCCAAGTGTGGGACAGCTCAACTTGAATACATGTTTGTGTGAGAGAAAGAGTTTGTATGCATGTTAACTGTCACTGTAACCCATTATATTTTCATATGGAAAAGTGTGACTGGAAAAGGATGGATGTGAGGCTATGCAGAGCATTGGTCACCTGTCAGGCTAATGGGCATTGTTATTGTTTTACAATGAAAGACTGCTCAACAAACATTTATCACAATATCTACACATCAGACCAGTCTCAAATAGTAGCCCTCAGAAATATGCTTTTAATTTAGTTTAAATAGCCATTTATGCGACTTTGCAAGGACAAATTCTTGTCTTGAGTCAGAAAAAATAAATAGTTTAAGAGATTTTACAGCAAGGGTCTTACTATTCGAACCAGGTCTTCCACCCATCACATAGCATATAGATCCTCTATAGACTAGTTTGTGTTTAAAGCATCACTTTAAAGGGTAATGTTGAAATGTTAATAGTTTGTGTCACTGATACCCAGCCCAAAGAATGTAAAGGTGTTTTAAAGAGACTAATGGATGTTGTAACTGTTGATTAAGGAGAACCTTTGACAGGGTTTGTGATGAAGGAAAACGAAGGGTGTGAGAGTGAATCGTGTGTTTCACCACAAGAATCCACATTTAGAATCTGAAATACAATCTTATTTACAGGCTTTGCATTGTACAAGAACCTCTGAATGTTTCGCCATTACAAACTTTCTGTTTCTGTTTTTGCAACAATAATGTTCTGACAACATCTGGTTTGGAAAAAAAAAAGAGTTTGAGGTGTAGGATATTTGAAATGGGACGCCACTAACAAGATGGCGCGGCTCCCCTCCACACAGATCACCTTTCCACTACACAATTTGGTTGAAATGAGTCCTAGTTCTAGTATAATACTGTACACATACACAAAGCTAAGAACACCAGTATTCAGTGTAAAATGGTGCTATGCTTACCTGTACTGTATGTATGTATATCCCTTCTTCTGCTCTTGAACTGTGCTCCTTTATCTACCCCAAAGTCAAATGTAATAATAATCAATATTTTGAAGCAAAAATGTTTGCTATTATTATAACCCCCCCTCTCCCCTCTTGGTCAATTTAAAATAAAAACAGTTGCAAATATTATACGTGACATATGTCTGCTGTAATTCTGTTGTTTTGGTCTTATAGCCATGCTAGAGATGTGGCTCTAGGGTGGCAACTTCAGTCCACCACTTCGATCAACTGAAATATTTCAGCTATTGTTGGATGGATTGCATTGAAATTTTGTTTTGAGTTTTTTTGTTTTTTTTGTTTTTTTTGGTTTGAATGAACAGGCTCAACTACTGGATGGATTTCCATTATATTTTGTGCAGATACTCATGTCCAGAATAAGTGTAATAACTTTGCTGATCCCCTGATCTAACAGGCAAAAATGTAATAATTTGTGCCTTGCAAATACCTGCAAAACCAATAACATTCCCATCAGCCTCAGCTGTACTTTGTGACTGGTGCTAATTAAAAAAAATTTACCACACTAACACGTTAAACTAAGATGTCGAACATAGTAAACATACCTGCCAAAATTCAGCATATTAGCATTTAGCTTAAAGCCCCACTGTGCCCAATTAGTCTAATTAGTCTTGTGTCACAGAAACAGGAAAATTACAAAAGGAAATGGACACTTTCCAGGTGTTTCTACCATCACAGGTACTTTATTATTACAAGTCAAGTCAACCAACTGTATCAAAACTGCAAGAACCTCAAAACCAGTGAACATAAGCTCTCTTCTGGCTGTCCTCTCCACAACAACTGTGTCACAACCAAATGCATTCAGTATTAAAAAAAAAAAAAAAAAAAAAATCTAAAGGCACATCTCTATTGTATTTACATTGCATACATGTTTGACATAAATCAAGTAAAAAGAGCACACAATCAGTCCTAAACACCTGACCACAGTGGCTTTGCTAAAGAGACTAAACTAAAGCTATCCCTAAAATACACACAGCAATACACCAGTTAGTTTTTATAAGTCACAGTATTCAAAGCTACAACACACAGGTGGGAATCAGTGTTTCTGTAACTTATGGCTTTGTTTTTTATTATTAGGAGTTATCGCTTGCATGCCACCTTGCTATGGCTCATTTAAGACTTTAGGTCTCTTTTTTTCAAGGCCTGTTAAAACCAGTTTTAAGGTAGGCTTGCGGACAACCTCTGCTTTAGTGACTTTTGCAGTAAATTAAGAATTTTAAAGGAATAGTTTGACATTTAGTGATATACACTTAAGCCCCTTTGAAGCCCCTTTTATGCACCTTCTTGTTGAGCGATAAACAGGTAGATGTCACCTTTATATTGGTTTCTTAAATATGAGACTGTGGCCAGGACACAGTTATCTTAGCTTAGCATACGGTCCACCTATCAGTGAGCTTTAGAGGTGCTGGTAGGCAGATTTTTTTATTGTTGGAAAAAGCCAAACTAGCTGTTTCCTCTGGTTTCCTTTCTTTATGCTAAGCTAACTGCGTGCTCGCTACAGCTCCATACTTAACATGAGACATGAGACTGGTCTCACCTAATTCCCATCAACAAAGCACGTAAGTGTAATTCCCCAAATGTTGTATTGTTTGTTTAAAATGAGAGACAAATCTGACACAAAGACCTCTTGTAGTTTTGTCATCAGGCACAAACTCCGCTTATCCATGCCTCAGTCCAATATCATCTCCCAAGGTCAGGTATTTACTCGTAGTCTCTGTTTTTCCCAAAGCATTTTAAGATGTAATCCAAAGCTGATTGTGAGCCAAAACTCCTCCCGCTGCTGATGTATCTGATGGGTGGCCAGAGCTTGAGTCTGCTTGTATAGATGTGTACCTAAAATACCTACTACAGAGATCAATACGCCAATGGGAAGATTAGATAGAGGCCAATACTGAGAGCCTAGTGCAGGATTGTATATATATACAGTATCTATGTGTGTGTATGTGTCTTTGTGTATGTGTGAGCACTTGAGAGTTAGTTTGAGTGAATGTGTTGTTAGTAGTCTACAGAGTGTATTTGGCTCGTATACTTGTGCAGTAAAAGGAGAGAACGATCAGGGAGGTAGGGGGGTTGTATATTTCCTAGCATTGTGTATGTGCATATAAATATGTGTGTGTGTGTGTGTGTGTGTGTGTGTGTGTGTCTGTGTGTCTGTGTGTGTCTGTGTGTGTATGTATGAGTGTATGAGTGTGTCAGACATAGTCCAGGAAGACATCAGCCGTGCTCTGCAGTAAAGGCTGGGTGGGTGCTGTCGTGCTGCAGACAGAGCTCAGCCTCCGTGATGACGCCCTCTGCTGCTCTGGAGGAATTGGGGCGTTGCTCAGCGTCAGGTAAACCTGAGAAGCAACACACACTCGTGTTTCATGGAAGTTTTAAAAAGCCTGCTGTTTCTTGTTTGTATCTACACTGTCATTAAGGACATAACGCCAAACAATAATCTTAAAAAAGAAAAAAGAAATAACGTGAGTAAATAATCCTTATATACTTACGTTCTTGGTATTTTCAGACAGCAGTAGTTCAGTCCTCTCCACCAGTTTCCTAAAGGAAGGCCTTTTCAAAGGATCGTGGTTCCAGCAGGACAGCATCATGTCGTACCTACAGAGGTGAGGCTGGGTTTAGCTTTGACAGAGGGGGATATGGTGGCTTCTACTAGACACAGACTTTATGCACACAGAGGTGCAGCCAGTATAAAACTAAACAAGGAGTAACAAAGAATTCACTATGTGTCACTACAACATTTTTGTCTTGCTGTACATTTTGTTGCACCGATCTATGTGTGTGTGTGTGTGTGTGTGTGTGTGTGTGTGTAATTTATGTTATTTTGTACACTAATAAAAGAAAAACAAAATCCAACTGATGAACATTGCAAGTAGCCACCAATATAAAAAAGAAATATTTTCAGAAAAGTGTTTTTATTCATTGGCTAGTTCATAGTGTATTCATCATCATAACAAAAGAGACACAGGTTATAATCAGAGCTGCAATAATTAGTCATTAAATCAGAAAATTAGGGGGGAACTGTTTTGATAATTAATGAATTGTTTAAGTCATGAGCTAAAATGCCAAATGTTCACTGGTTTCAGCTACTCCAGTGTGTGTCTGGTTGAACAAAACAACTAACTTGATGATGTTGCCTTTTCTGACATTTATGAATCAATTACTTGAGAGAAAAAATCCGCAGATTAATTGGCAATAAAAATAATGATGGGCCGCATTCTTACTTATAACCCTCAAATAAAAATACTTACATCTCAATGGGAGCAAACTCAGGCCTACTCATCCTGTGGCCCTCTTGAATCATCCTATAAAATGCTGAGCCCACCTGCGTCCCAGGGTACGGGCTGTTACCTGCAACACCAACATACAATATGCATACACTTAAAATAACTGTCATTTTTGTCTTATTTATTTGGAGGAAAAAAAAAAATCATGGATTGTAATGATGATGATTCCTAGAGCTACAGCATGTATTAGATCCACTAAGTGATGTTGTTGCTTGGGAGCATCATCAGCGCCTCTAATAAGGCCCCAGTCAGCTCAAATGGATGATAATAATTGCTCAGACATTATGAAAACAGATGCCCCGGTACAGCTCTAACTGGAAATTTTACCCAGAGAGAAGATTTCCCAGAGCAGGATGCCGTAGGACCACACGTCACTCTCAAAGGTGTAGACACAGTCGAAAATACTCTCGGGAGACATCCACTTGACCGGCAGACGAGCCTGCAGGAGGAAGAGCCATGATTACATGGACAATGTTCCCTTTGTTTTCATTCAGAAATACCATACAGTATGTATCATTAATTAATATCATGTGTTATTAAATTGGTTGTTAACACTTTAAAAAAATCATAAATAAACAATTATGTTATAATATAATTATGTTATATATATATAGAGAGAGATACATAACATTATAAGTTATAACACAGTTTTCATACAAACTAGTTTTTACAACTGATAAAACGGAGTCTTATAGTTACTCATTAATAAATGATGATGGGTTTTATACTTACACTGTGTTATAACTCATTTATAATTGTTTATTTATCATTTATAAAGTGTTATCGACTGAATTAATAACCTAATGATAAACCGTTTATAAATCCTTTATAAGGGTAGTCTTATTGTAAAGTGGTTCCATTTTTTCATTTGGCCTTAAAGAGCAAAGCTTTTCCACAGATGATAAACAACAGTGAGCAGGGGCATTTTCTATTCATTCTTTTCCTCCAATACTCGGATGTATTTCTTACAGCCAAATAATGCATGTAGGACTTTGCATGTACATATTCTGCATATTCTATACTTCTATTTGCTGATAAGGACTGTGAGATGAGGTTGAAAAGAAAGTTAAAGAAACATGAGATTATTTTGACATACACACTGATCACAGGGTCAAGCTCTACTTAAAGTGAATTATTCAAGAGCAGTGGAGAATTTTCCACTTTCAAGGAAGGAAGGAAGGAAGGAGGGAAGGAAGGTCAGAGAGAAAGAGTGACAGACTCACATTGCCCCTGAGGACATAGCTGGCATCAGTGGTGATGTCTCGTGCCAACCCAAAGTCACAAATTTTTGCCACCCTGCCGTGAGTCAGCAAAATGTTTCTGGCTGCAAGATCCCTGTGAATACACTGAACGCACACGCACACGCACGCACACACACACGCACGCAGGCACGCACACACACACACACACACACACACACACACACACACACACACACACACACACACACACACACACACACACACACCACACAAGCAAACACAAACATGGAAATGAGTGCTGACATTGTAACCAGTTTCTGTAGTGAATGAATGACAAACAGTACACACATGCAAATCAGGCGAGTAAAACTTGTATCAAACACAAAAGCCAAGCTGACGACTCTTTATAAAACACAAAATGCACTGAAACAATATGACAAAGAGAAGAGAATAAATAAAGCAGAGACCATGGGCCAGTTATTTTTCAGTATTTTTCATTGGTGGACCAAGTTTTTGCAGGAGCACACACAAACCTACATGTTTTCATCATGTTGTATTTGTTTATTTTCTTTCAATTAATTTAAGAATAGTATTGATTAATAAAACTGTTTTAGTATTATATTTGAGAGCAGATACAGTTTATGTTAATACATATTTGGCAAAAAATGACTCATAAACAAATATATGTTTTGTATTCCCCTTTGAGTCCAGAGAAGCAATTAATATTTCATTCAGTGGCCTCCTTTATTTATGGCTGAAAGAAAAGGTGAATAACAGACTCTGCTTCAGGCTAGAGGCATGGAATTAAACCTGTGTTTGAATTCAGTGGGCACTTCTTTCATTACAATAAAGTAGATTCTAGTATTAATTTGTGTTATTCATCTGGTAAGTTTATTACGCTTCAATTCAGCACTATGCAGTGCATAGTATAACATAGTTATATAGAGTAGTAAAAGTTTTTATGTAAAACATTAAAGTAAACAATTTCAGGGGAACCATCTTAGGGTAATCACAGTCTGGACATAAATAATGCCTAATTTAAAAAAGGAAACAAAAGTGCAGTTAGAGAAAAATCAACCACAGGCAGACAAGTGAGCCAGAGAGTTTTCATTTGAAATTTAAAGTGGCTAAGATTGTGAGAAGGCTGGTTCCATCTATTTGCAGAATAAGATCTACAGTAAATGCAGCTCCACCGTGTTTAGTTCGGGTTAGGGTTAGATTTTACTAGCTGACAATGTACAGCATGTTGGCCCTGAGCCATAATGTGATTTATAAACCAGCAGTAGCATGTCTCTTCTGTGACTGCTCTATAAATATTAACACAGTCAGTAAAAGCCTTACATTCTTGGAAGTAATGTACTCCATTCCTTTGGCCACCTGGTAGGAGAAGCTGAGGAGATCTTCAGCGTCCAGAGACATTTCATCAATATCATCTAGACAAAGATTACATTGTCAGCTTTAGTGCGAGAAACCAGAGACTTTAAACGCACTGTTGCAATGCGTGATGGAAAATACATAGTGAGAGGTTTTCTACCTGACTGTGAAGACCGGTCTTTCTCAGAGGGTCGCATGGGCATATATCCTGTACCAGTCACATCTCGGCTACAAAGGCACACACACACACACACACACACACACACACACACACATGCAAGTATTACATTTTGACATGGTAATAATCAGTTTTTAACAGCAGTTGATATTAAGAAGACACACACATACACACCTTGTTGGCTCAGTTTGGTTCAAGACGTTGCGATAGTAACCATCACCAACTTGGGAATTAAGGAAGGAATTTCTCTTTCTGCGCAGGAAGTTGAGGAGGTCGCCATAGCAACAGTACTCAGTGATCACCAAAATTGGGCCTGGCAGGATGCAGAGATAAAAGAGAAACCTCACTCACTGATTTTGAAATCACATGACAGCATATAACAATGAAAAGGAAACAGAAACTCAAAGCTCTAATGATGAGCCAGAAGAGGAAAAAAACGGACTGACGCGGGGCAGCACTGTGTGTTTAAAGGCTGATCTCAGTAGTTTGAGTTAAAACATGTTGTAGAAATGTGTGTCAATATCTTTAAATTAAGTTTTTAATGCACCGAGACATCACTACAAAAACATCTTAAGTGTTCCGTGTTTCCCAGCGATAACATACTCATGCATACTCGATTGGAATACCATTTAAATGCTGCATTACAATCAATGTTGAGGGCTAGACAGGTAGATAATATTGATCCACTGCACCGAAAATTTGTGACCAGTCAAAGTGCATCACGTCTTCATTTCTGAGCCGCTTCAATACTGACTGTCCAATATCTGATTTTTAATAAAAGGACCATATTGGCTGGGCATAGTAGCAAGTCAGTGCATGATCATGTAAGTGTCTAAGCTTTCAACACAATCATCCAAACAGTACTCATTAACCATGAAAAAAACAGTCAATAAATAAATGACCTAATAAAGCTACAGTGCAAATATAATAGATTGTTAGGTTCCACACTCAAGAAAACCCAGACCAAAGTTAGTTGACCGGTTTGCAGCGGCTCCTCTCACCTCCGATGGTGCAGGCTCCCAGCAGGTTAACAATGTTCACGTGGTTTCCAAGGTAACTGAGAACCTTCAGCTCTGACATCAGCGCCTCCTTCTCCGTGGCATGAGCATTGGCTGAGATGACATCATCGGATCATTTATACACACATCCATTACATCAGTAAACATAACAACACAGCAATGTAGAGTCCATTAAGAGTCCTTGTCCGGATGTATTACTATATAAAACATTATTAGATTGTTAATACTGATGCATCAATGTGTATGAACCATTTTAATATTGTAGCTGGTCAAGGTGGAGCTAGCTTTAGCTACTTTATTTACTGTAAGGTAGTTTTTAGTCCAGTGAGATGATAAATGGCGTAGGAAAGAGGAAAAAACTTTCCAATTTTTGCTCATTAGGTAATCTTCTTTTTTTTTTTTTTAACCTCTTTAACCTCCAAAAATTATTTAATTGAAACTTTAGAAGGGAAATTAGTTTTTGATGGAACTGCCAAAAACTCATAGACATCTTGAACATGACAAAAGGCTCTGAGTACAAACTGCTTTTTTGTAAAAGGTCTGTTCTCTCACAGGTGTACTTCAGGACCCCATGACAAGTACAACAAAGCACACCTCTGACCTCACCTAGCAGTGATGTTGGGCGTTAAGTTACTCTTTAAGTACAGCACTTGAGTAAATATAATAAGTCACTTTCCACAACTGTATACACCCTTACAATAAACTGTATGTTGTTAGAACACACAGACTCAGGGACAGGCAAACTTACGTTTGAGCATCTTAACAGCAACAGTTGTAACGGTATCTGCAGAGCAGAGTCCATACGCTGTGGCCCTCACCACCTTTCCAAAAGCCCCAGAGCCCAGGGTTTTACCTGTAAGAACACACACACACACACACACACACACACACACACACACACACACACACACACACACACACACACAAGCAAACACAAACATGGAAATGAGTGCTGACATTGTAACCAGTTTCTGCAGTGAAAGAATGACAAACAGTACACACATGTAAATGAGGCGAGTAAAACTTGTTTCAATCTGCAAACTGCAGGAATATCACATACACACAGTAAAGCTACACAGCCATGAAAACTGTCTCACCAAAGCGCAGTTTCTGTCGAGGAAACTCCCATTTGGAGTCATACGGCAGCTGGGTGGGGTCAATGTAAATATAGTTGTTGCCATGGATACTCTCGATGACCTTCCACTGAATTTGAAACTTTGGTTTCTGTTGAAGTTTGGAGAGGAGAGAGGACAGTGATTTTTGCAGAGAGAGTGACTGCGGATACGTTTCCTGGGATTGTTTGTTGTATGTGACTACATGTTGGTATAGCTCACATATTTGGCCTTTTCTCATTCTCTTCTATTCAATTTCAGATTACTCAGGGCACTTTAGTTGACAGCCTGTGTCTAGACTTTCCCCTGATGATCCCACTGCGGATTCATAAACTAGTTCTCAAGGAGTCTGACTCATCTGAGTGCGTTAAGAGCAGCATGCTGTAGGGGGCAAATTAATGGCTCGAGGCTTGATCGGGGTGTCAAAAAAAGCCTTTAGCTGCAGCGTGTCTGCGCTCTGAATGGTTGATTGATTCATTTCAGATTCATTAGGACACATTCATATTGATTAAAAGGACGTGTTTCTTCTGCTATCAGCAGAATATGGAATGCAGCACAAAAACTAGTCTGATCTGAACAAGATGTTTCGAACTTTAACAAACTCAACAAGATGGAGGCATGAGTCATTAGTAAAGGAGAGTGGGCCCTTTGCCAAATACTATTGCAGCCATTTATTTTTCCACGATGCAAACTGCATATCAATGTTGCTAGATGAACCTTGATTTGACATTGATGTCTATGGATTTTTAAACTGATTCATGGATTTGAATGGGATGGATGGTAACAGATTTATGTGATTTAGGAGAGATTTATTACTTTCACTGAGATTAAAACAGTCCTTCATTACAGTAATGATACGTATGTATGATATATTTCCCATCTTACCTGCATGTACTTATAGAGCAGCACCAGTAGAATGAGGCTGAGTAAGACGCCAGTAGCCACCATGCCAGTTAGGAGAGGAGTGAAGAGTTTGTGGGGGACAATGCGTTCTGAGAGGAAACACACACAAACAAGCACACAATGAGAAATCACATGGAGCTTTTAAGTATAAACAACATTTTATACACACAAACACACACGTACACCCACACACGCACGCACGCACGCACACACACACACACACACACACACACAAACACACACACACACACACACACACACACACACACTCCCTCCAGAGTTAAGACAGACAGCTGCAGCAGTGGTGTTTGTTTGTGTGACAAGGATTAGCGAGTCTACACCATATAATCCCAGCCTGCATAGTCAGCATACACTAATCTTATTCAATCTGTACCCAGTCACCACACACCTGGCCTGCGAAGACACAGGGTCAATGGGTTTGTGTGTCTTTGTTTATGTTTACTATGTGTGTATACTGATGCAACAATCTTTGTGGTATGGTATGAATGAGATAATATTCACATACGAACCTGTGTGCGCACGCGTGTGTGTGTGTGTGTGTGTGTGTGTTTGTGATTTTACAGTATCGTACCACTGATGAGGAAAAGTGTGTAGGCCTCTTCCCCCTCCGTACTCGCCACACACTCGAGGGTGTGGTAGTGTGCGTGCTCCTTGCTGATGTTCAGTCGGCTCTCCACCTCACTCTTACCAAACGCAGACTCTGTCACCATGGCGACGTCCGGAGTCTCCAATTGGGTGGCATTGGGCAGGTGTGAGCACCTGTTGAGAGGTTATAAAGGTGCTGAAGGTCTTTATTTTCCAACACGTTCCTTTATTTGTTCGATAACGGAGCAAGTTCCTGATTACAGCAGAAAATAACAGGAGACAGAAGGAAGATCCTCCCTCTAATTTTTTTGCTTTTAGTCCTCTCTTGGTGAATTTCTGCTGTTCCTTCCCTTTTTTGTCTTCTCCGTCTCTTCTGTTGTCCAACAATGTCAAAATGCTTTCACTAAGTCTTATCTGGCCAATGGAGTCCCTGGATGCCATTCTTTACATAAAATTATGATCTTGTAATTCTGTCTCTAGACTCTGGGGAAACTGTTCTTCTCCATGCGTTTAATGAAGATGCTTCTCATTGATGTGGTCTAATCGCCAAAGTCTGTTTCTGTTGCTACTATCAATAAATACTATTATTCACGTCCTAATATGATGATGATATCTCTTTATTATATTGCTGTCAGATAATAGCATAGATTATTGAAATTTAAGACACTTATTAAAGATAAATGTGTAAAGGTTGAGAATAGCCATGGTTGCCATTATGTTATTTTATCAGTTACCTTGAGTTAAATGAGTTAAATGTCTCAGGATAACAAAGTTGTTTTTCTTGTGATTACAGGATAATTATCTTGAAAAAAAGATACAAGCTAAAAATCTATTCTCTTCTTACTACTCTCACCAGATCGAAATCTTAGCAATCATTTGTAACCAACTGCTAGTTTTTACATAATTACATAACAACATACGAACCGACTCCTGCTGGTGGAAGAGCAAGACAAAGTATTAAAAGTATTAAAGATATCATATTATATCATGACAATAGCTGTGTATCATCATCTTTTCTATCTTATTCTGATGTAAGTAATCTAAAGATATAAACAAAGCAAAATAAACCCTCTTTTCATAAAAGCAGTGTGATATATTTTCAGCATACCTTGTGTGGGGCAGCTCACACAAATACCAGCTGATTTTAGGTACTGGGTAACCTGCAGCAATGCACCGCACCTGTCCATCAACAGGCCCCTCCTGGGCGATGATAACAGGCTTACCTTGCAGAGACAAAAGAGAGACACTTATCTAACAAGCTTGTATCAAACATACTACATGCTATGGATACTAATGTAAGGTACTTTAGTGTTCATTTTCAAAAACCACAACAGCTGTATTTATATATATACAGCATCAGTTGATTGCATGTGTCATCATTTTCTGATGCTCAAACCTTTGGCAAATTGTGTTCTAACTAAATGCATGTGACAACTGTGAGAGTTACTTACTGTTGACGTACACGTGGAACGAATGATCGACAGATGCATCCTCATGACTGGCTGAGAACTTATAGATCCCGCCTTCTGAGCCGAGAACCCTCACTAGTCTCAGCTCAGTGATGTATCTGATAAGACAAACATACATTTTACAGTCTGTGTGTGCACATGCACGTGCACTTACAGTGAATTCCTTTGACACACTGTAAACTTTCTGTACCTGTATTTGCGGCGGTGGATAGTGATGACGTGCTCTGTGGTGTTGAGGAGCCGCTTGTCATTGTAAGACCAAAACAGGGAGCTGAGTGAAGGATAGGCATCTAATTCTACCCTGAGGCTCAGGCTCTCCCCCTCTTTAACATCTGCCTGGACTGGACCGGGACTTCCTAACATGGTGATGAACCCCTGATCTGGGGAAGAGAAATATGCACAGCTAAAGGAAAAGTGTACTCTAGCTTTCAGTCCATTTCAGTATAAGCAAAGGCAATAGCTAACTACAGTATGTGTCATTAGTTCAGGTTCTATTCAGTACATATTCAGTGTTACATATCCGTTGCCTTGCAGAAGATATTTTATAGATTTACTGTGATTTACCTTCTTGTTTTCCTTCAACAGGTGTAGCCTACTTACATTTTAGTTTCCAACAGTTTCCACAATGCCTTATGAAAATGTGCCTTCCACCCATTTGTAGATATTTATGCAGGTAAGAGCAACAAAATGTTGGAATAAAGAAGTCAGAAATGAAAAAAAATCCTGCAACTGACAAAAAAAATGACAAAATGTCCCCAAGATACTGTTACCGTTATTTATTCAGGGAGGTTTCACTGAGAGCCAAACCGCCCCTTTAGCAAGTATGCCCTATTCACACAATTACACTGGAAGCAGCCCAGTACAACCGCAGTTGGATCTGCTCCATGTGGGTGTCAAGGGCCAGATTCCTCATCAGTTTGTAACATTTACTAACGAAAACCTTCATGATGACAGTTCATGTAAAACTAGACTTGTGAACTTTGCATATTGGGCCTCAACAGCATGACACATATGCAAATCTCACGTCATGTGATGTTACAGTCTGTAAAGAGCAGCCATGGGTGCTCACTCCTTGCTGCTGAGGAAGCAGTTTGTATTAACTCATAAGGTTTATTTTGGAGCATATCGACAGACATGAACAATCAACAAATCAACAACAAATAATCTGAGTATATACAATAAATATACACATCTTATGGTAGATGCAAATTAGAGATCATAACTCAACAAGTCTGGATGTTGTCAGAGCAGCATGCCCAAACATGCAACAGTGCAGCTCTTTGACAGTAGCTGGATCATGACCAAGAGTTTTGGGTGAATCCCACATATTAAGTCATTGTCAGATACAAATGGCTCACTTTCTTAGATATATAATAAAAGAATGTTGATATAATGGTGATTTTGGATGAGAACATGCAGGTTAATGAGAAATCATTATTACACTGTTGATGTAAACATCACAATTTAATTACCTATCTAATTACTTATAAATGACAAAATATAAGGCAAAATAAAACACACACAGACACACACAGACACACAAAGACGTGCACATCATAAACCAACTTTAGCACTCACTGCGGATGTCCAGTTGCAGTGTTGTAGAACTGGTGCCTCTCTCGTTGTGGGCATAGCAGCGGTAGGTGCCTGAGTCTGATTGGTTGACAGCTGCGATCAAGAGCGAGGTGGCTCGCTGATAACCACGTGAGCCAGACAGGATGTGTGAGGCCTGAGATTCCTCAGGATGCTGCGGGACATCAGGGGTCAAAGGTGAGCAGTGCAACGGATGTAATACCAGACAGATCCAGTGTTTTGCATGCATCATGCTTTACTTCAGTTTTTCAAATGAGCTTATGCTTTCCTCCCAGTTGTGTTTTAATGTCCAATGGATTAAACCCCCCAAAAATTAACTCTGTTCTTCAAAATTACGTATTTAGAAGTATTTTACCTAAGAAAAATCCATTCATTGCCTTAAGGGCCAGAAGTCTTAAAACACATGTAATATAACTCACCATGTGTGATATATAATTGTAGAATGAAATATTATTAATAGAAATATTACTACTACTCAGTCTTTTCCATGGTAGCTACAGACCTGAAAAAAAAAAAATCTCACAAAAGAGTTTCACATCTAGTCATTCGGCCACCCAGACACAGACACAGAGGACTGGCAGCCAGTCTTGCCAGTCGATCTCTACATCAATCTCACCGCTGTTGAAGGGACGTCCCACTTGAGACTGAAGTCTGGGTTGACATTGGTGGAGCTACAGGTAAGCTCAAACCGCTCTCCTTTCCTCAAGATGACGGTGTCTTTCTGGGACAGTGTGATCACTGGGGGCACCACTGGAACTGGATCAAGAAATGGAAATGTGACATCATCATAACTGTTGAACTTGGTAAGCCCATCTAAACCAGCACACTCATAAAAACGCTTCCATCTTGCTCTTACTATATTTGCTTCCAAGGCATTTGCTCTTGAAAAAGGCCACAGGGACACTTGGGTCATGTAGGTCATGACCTTTGCACTTCTCACGGATTGTTATTTATGAGACTGAAACTATTTTATTGTGTTGTATAGTATTCCTATAATCATTGTATATCACTTTGGATAAAAGTGTGTAGTAAATGTCTTTAATCAAAATGCTGCTGAAACTGAATTTGAAAGCGTAAGAAATAAATACTCTATTTGTATGCTATCATAAAATACCCTCAAAAATGTGTGACTTCTGTGTCTTTAATGGCAGGGTATGCAGTAGTGCACAAACACACACTAATGCACATTTATATTCACACGGCAGTGCACACAAGTACAGTGCTTGCATATGTAGACACTTATACGTACACAAATTGCATGATTAATTCCCACCAATAAATCCCCACTGACGTCACTTCAGTGGCTGTGTTTGACGAAGGCTGCGGTAATTCTATTTACCCCAAACACGGCCTTCATGCACCGTTACCAAGCTTTGTTCAGTATGGGACTCTAATCCCTCTGCTCCTCCCTCCCTTACATCTCTTTTCTCCGTCCCTCTCTCCATCAGTCAAGAGGACACTACGCCACGACTCCTCCCAGCCTGCCTGTTCGCTGTCTTCCCACTGCAGACCAGACTGAAAATACTGATGCAGTGCAGGGACAAACAGAAACATAATCAGTCTCCACTGACGTCTACTTAAACTGCTTTTATGGTACATTTCACTTCAATATACCTCTAGAGAAAAAGCTATGACCTGAACCTCTTCCAACTTCTGCAATGTAAATTGCTGATAGTTTGATTGCTGTCTGCTGGCTGCCATGATGATAATGATGTCTGATACATTACGGCCTCTAATGTAGACTTTTAGCTCTGCTAGTGGCTCTAGGGATGGCGATATCAGTCCGTCTGTAGGTCAGTCAGTCCAGCTCTTGAAATATCTCAACAACTATTTTCTGGAGGACCATGAAACTTTGTACAGACATTCATGGTGCTCAGAGGATGAATCCTCCAATTTTTGTATTACCTCTGGTGCCACCAGAAGGTCAAAATTTGGTTTATGACTTAATACCTGCAAAGCTAACAATATTTAAGTGGTTTCCTCTTTTAAAGGTCCCATGTTATATAAAGTGAGATTTCCATGTCTTTTTTGATTATAAAGCAGGTCTAGGTTCTATATTAATACTGTAAAAGTTTCAAACCGCTCAGTCCACACGGAAATACAGTTAGTCCGTTTTCTGAGACTGTGCCTTAAAATGAGCTGTCAGGATTTCCATAACCTTGTGATGTCACAACAAAGCAGTCACCACTCTCAGCCATGCCCCAAGCCCAGCCCACCTGGACTCACCACCTGAAATCTGCTATAATTTAATTTGATCACTCAGAAAGCAGTCAACCAGTCAACCAACCGACCGACCTGCTGTTACTAGAGTTCCAGTGAGAAGCCTGAGAGAGGACGAATATATCTCCTTATGGATATGAAAACTTCAAAACACGGGAAAGGTGAAATATGGAACCTTTGTACACCTTGGTGTTTGAAATGATGATTCTCTTTCTTATAAACTTCATCCCAAAAACCCTGTCAAAAAACTTGGACTGACACTTTATTTTATTTTGGAAACAAACATTGTTTTTCCTTTAATGCAAGAAAACGGTTGGTATCTCCTACATCTTTACCACTGACTGATAATCTGTAGACATGGTTTATCACAGTCCCTCAACATTTTTCACTGTGTGGACTCACAACTGTAGGTTGTATTCTTTGGTTGGATGGCTGTTTCTTGCTTAACTCACTGGCTGGCTTTTGTTTACAGAGCAATTTTAACGTCACTCCCGCCCTTCTTGTGGGTCTTTATGAATCCTGTTTGTATTTAACAGTATGATCTGAGATCTCAGGACTCTTTCCTATTCAATGTCCCACAAGAATGAACTTGGGTAAAGGGCATTCAACTTTATACCTGCTAAACAACATTGAAAAAAACATCTGCAAACCTACTTCCCATATTATTTTTCATTGCTCCAAACATAAGCAAGTTCTCCATTAATCATGATATTTACACCCCCACCTGACCGACACGCTGCCCACCAACTACCTTTGTTTTAAACAAGCAGTCGCAAGGTTATGAACAATTTTACTCTTTACTTAACTGTTTTTCATTTACATTACGGTTCCCAAAGCATTAGCAAAGGCTTTACTTTCCCCTGAATAATCACTCAGAGCTAATAGCTGCTTTTAGGCTGAAAAACAAGACTATCCACTGTGACTTCACACTGACCTTGCATATACTGCATACAGACCTTACTGGAAAGATGACTGAAGCCTTTCCGTTGCGTATTCCAGCTGCACATACAGCATTCAATCTAGCCCTCGTCTTCCCTGTTTAGCTTGATTATCTCCCAGATGATAAATCTAGTAAAGCTATGCCACACAGAGAGCCACTAAACAGTGGTACAAATTCAGCAACATGAGTAATAGTTTGGAAAACAAAAATGTTACAAATCGCCCTTGTCCATCATATCTCTTGCTTACCAAGTCGTACATCCACAGTGTATTGGGTAGACGTGACTTTGAGTCCACCAAGCTGCCCCACACATACGTAACAGCCCTCATATTCCTTTCTCACGTTGCTGATGATGATGCCTCGCTGGAGGTTGCTGTGGTAACTCATACTGAAGGGCAAAGGTCGTCCATCACAGGTCTCCAAAGCCAGGAGAGTGACCTCAGGGTCGGTCACAAGACAGGGGATGGTGCAGTTCTCACCTGCACGCACCAGAATGACGTTCACCATGGTGCGCTGGAAGGCATTCTGGGGATCTGAGGAGATGAAAGAGAGAGGGAGATTTGCATTAACAGATGTTATTTGATGGACACACGTGCATTCACAAGCCGCCCCTCCCTCATCATGACCAACAACCTACCTTTCACATAAACGTAGATGGAGCTGTGCTCCAGTGTGCTGTTGTTGACACACACATAACGACCCATGTGTAAGGCCTGCACTGATGGCACCTTGACATAAGCCACTCCACCCTCTTCCACTTCTCCCTCCAGCCTGCGAGCCCTCTCCCGCTGCCACCTCAAGCTGGATGGGGTCCCAGGTGTTGTGGCATTGTCGTGGCAACGCAGCTCCAGCTTCCCCCTCTTGGGAACCACTATGTGAGGCCCACTGGGTGAGATGACTGGATCGCACCACACTGGAACAGAGCATATGGTTGATTATGGTGGGGCTGGGTGCTATTTCCGAAGGCTGTGATGGGTTAAGTTTAGGTAAAGTTCCAGAAGGATAAATCAGTGAACAGAGCAAAAGAGTTGAGTAGTGGAGCTGATTAGACTTTAGTTTGATCTATAAAATGTCAAAATTTACTAAACGCCCAAGATGATGCAATCCTTTTTTAAGCCAACTAATGCTCCGAGGGATATTAACAAGACAAAGAAAAAGCAGCAAAGCCTCACAATAGAGAAGCTGTAACAAAACAGTGTTTGGTATTTATGGTTAAAAAACAACTTACACGATTAATGAACTATCAAAGTTTATTTGAAGATTTCAAATTGCACATTACTTTTCTTTCAAACAACTGATCGATTAATCGACTAATCACTTCAGTTCTACAGAGCATAGGGTAAAACAGAATAGAGTGCCTAATGTTATGGTTAAATAGGATGGTATGATTGGCACAGAGCCCCTTAAGACAGAGTGCTATCTAACCACCATGGCGCAATTGAACAATCAATAATTATGAGCTGTCTACCCGCTGAGTAATCATGCATTAAAGGCCCATAAATCCACTCCCTTAAGATGAGTAAACTAAACTAACACTTTCATTTCAGTTTAACCCCCATCAGACAACCCCCTACCAAGTTTTTTTTTTCTTTCCTTTTTTTTTTTTTTTTTGCAGTTTTCCACATGATAGGCGCCATTTCAAGAACAGGATCTTCATGTGACTGTTGTGCCTTCAGGCCTGGCAAAGCTGAGAAAGCAGGGGAGAGAACCATGTGGATGCCCCTCTAAAATACCATTGCCTGTGTTTGTGTAGGCTGTAAGCGAATGTTTCATAGCTAATATCTGTAACAATTTCTGTTTTGCAGTCATGGGTATAGGTTTCATTTGAACATTGAGAAGACTCATTAAGCAGGTGGCCTTGGGTTCTGTCATTCCCTGCATTATGGTGAATTTTTATGCAAAAAATGTGTCTTTTTCTGCATCAATTTATGGTGTAAATGTCTTTGTTATGTAAAAGACACCAAAAAAATTCAGGCACCAGGTGACAATTCAAAAAATACTGGAGTAGCTTGTCTGCTGCTATCTTAGCTAGCCAGCAGGCTTTCATAGGTAGGCAACATTACCTTCAGATTAGTTAACAAACTAACAAACAATTAAAAAAGTAAACTCGAAAGTCATTATCTAGTGGTTCACAACTTGCTTGGTTTTGAGACTTTTTGAGGAAAATGTCCTAATATTGGACCTCCTCCTCTTCCTCCTTTTCCCTTCTGGCTATCAACCTGCCTGTGTGTGCATGGCGCCAGAGGAGAGGAGGAGACACTGTTCCACTGCTGACTGAGATCACAGCACTGTATATATGTGTGTGTGTGTGTGTGTGTGTGTGTGTGTGTGTGTGTGTGTGTGTGTGTGTGTGTTCTAAGTATTACTCATGTTGTTTACATGTTTACACAGTCACATCCTGGGGACTTGTCTTCCCTTTGGGGACGAAACACAAGTCCCAATAACATGAATGGGTTTGAAGGTGAAGACATGTTTTAATGGTAGGGTAAGTATTAGGATTACTCAAGGACTGTAGTAGCTTTGGTTAAGGTTAGAGTAAGTCTGCACTAATGAAGGTAAGTCAGTGTCCTCTGGAGTCATGGAGACACTGCTGCATGTCATTGTGTGCGTGCGTGCGTGCGTGCGTGCGTGTGTGTGTGTGGCAGGGATAATTATGTTTGCAAAAGATTCAGTGCTTGTATGAGCTCACAATTCATAGTCATATATTAGGGGTAAAAAAAAAAAAGACCCAGTGCTGTCGACAAAAGACCCGCCCCTGTCATTGTTGCATCTGTAGCATTGGAGGGTCCAAATGCACATGTTCTAAACATTGACGGAAATGTATCCCCTGCATCCCCTCCACCTACACAAGTCTACACTTATGTTTGCAATTGATTCTGAGTGTCATCTGAGTAAGAAAAAGGTTGCACACAAAACCTGACGCTGTTATGACTAAACAAAAAGCTTTCATCATAACAGTCAGAGCTGTTAGATGTCAGAGTGCTGCACGGCTGCAGGGCGTGTTGGTGTTTAAAGATGTGCCTCTTCTTTGTTCCTTCTGCTGGCGAGCTAAGGCGCACAACCTAATCCCTTTTATTTTGGTGGGATAAATAATTGATGGTCCCACACACACACACACACACACACACACACACACACACACACACACACACACACACACACACACACACACACACACACACACACACACACACCTGTTGCCTGCCAAGGAGAGGGCAAACCAAAGGCATCTCCCACCGTACCTCGAAACACAGTTATGCAAATGAGCCCTGATATGATCTGTAAACTTGAGCTGTCAGGTTGAGCGGACTGCACCGTTACACACCACTTCACCACGTTCCCACAAACTGCGTGGAGTCTGTATTTATATGCTCCTCAGTAGAAACATGAAGCTGTGAGAAGCTGCACTAAACATGCGCAAAGATACGAGCTGTTTTTCTCGGCTGTTTTCCACCACAATTTTGCTCTAATTAATGGCGGAAAGACTTTAAATAGTGTCACTGGAAAAACATGGGAGTATAGGCTAATTTGGAGACATGACAACAACTCCTGTCATCTAAAAACACAGACTCCAACACAAAAGCGACAAAATGTTGAAATATACGGTAGATTTTGTAATAATAACACAGGTGATAAACACACACACAATACTACAATCATAATAAACTCTTACTAAAGGCATGGCCTGCTTTCATGGATCTAAGAATATGATAGCAGTAAAATACAACAATATGAAACTGTTGTGAGGTAGAGATAAAGTCATTATTGAGAACACGGACACACCACGAGTCACTTAGAGCAATGCTGGAGCAACATCACAATGATTTCTGAAAGGTTGGAGTGCTTTTCTTACCTGTTAGTGACCCCAAAAGAAAATGTGAGGCAAAAACAACCCAGTGGCACCTCATGATTAGGCGGTTTCGAAGCCTTTTACACTGCTCCATGCGTTTCAACTGCAAGAATAATCATCCTGTGTTTTACCAAAAAAAAAAAAATAACAAAAAAAAAATACACCGGACCCCAAGATCCCATCCACCGCAATAACACAGAACAGGTCCCGCCACCGTGATGACCGCACAGCACAATGATCATTTGCACTGCGACTCCCCCTGATGGAGTTCACTGGAGCTTAAAGACACAGTGCAGCGCCTCTCCTCTCTGCCCTGGATCCCTGCCACTCCTTTCTGCCCCGCATTGGCTGGAGACTGGCCAAGAGGATGAGTCGGTCATTACCGGGAAAAACACGGCTCTTCTCAAGCAACCCTCACCGTTTCTTACGCAGTCATTGCGATGGGGAGGACGGGACTCATCCAATATTGAAAGTGCTGATTGACAAAACAAGACAAGATTGGCTGATCTGTCCAGTAAGATCACTGTAAATAGACTTTTTTTTTTAAATCACAAACACTATGATAAAGTATTTTTTATGGCAACTGACAGCCTCTTCTCACACTTCTCACACGCGGTCCTGTTGTGATGATGGCAGCTCACACTTGGCAGGAGTTTCCCTGCAGAAGCTCATTCAGTTTGTGATGCACTCCATAGTCTCAAGTTTCTCAGCTCTAATCAGCATCATCTATAGTGGTCTCACTTTTCCCAGATTTAATCACGTTTATATCCTATAGGAGTCAGTTAAACAGCCATACTGTGGTGGTGATGTGCACAGCAAGCTTTTTCTCAAGCAGCATTTGATATAACCACATTTTGTCCCCACTCCACTCCAACAATCACAATCAAGTCTGTCTTGAAATAATAGTCATATGCAGATAGAAACAGGTTTTGCTTGCTGTAATCATTCCTCCTGTTCATACTGGCTGTTAAAATGTCCCTTCCTGCAGGACTTTCTCGTGATAGGAGACAAAATAAGGTATTTCATATTAAAAAAGACTATTCACTTTGGAAGCCTTATATTAGCCTCAGCTAAACATTTGAACACGAATTGAAAGCTGAGGATTTTGTGCCCCTTCACCTCAACCGGAGTTCTGTTTCAATTCAGACTTCAACATATTCACGTCTTGACCTGGACAGTGTAGCCAAGTTCTTCACAGAAAGTGGGCATTTTAAAAAGTAGATTAAAAACAAAAACACTTACACCCACTGATTTTGTTTTAGTGCTCTCAAATTTATCATAGAGAAGCAAGTCAGACAACTCTTCACCAACATGCCTTATTATGGCGCCCCCAAAATTTCTTTCTTCTTGCACATCAAAAGTCTAAATGAGAGTTAAATCAATTTAAAACCCAGAACTCTGCAAAATGAAAAAGGAAATCCGGGAATTCCTGCACAATGTCACTCACTTGCACGCTCTTTATTTGGTCCCTTGCAATTACTATTCTTTTGGCTTTCAGACCTTCATTAGGTAAGAAGGTCTACCAACTAAAACAATGTAATTAAATAAAATTATTTCTGGGTTCCTCTTTGTCATAAAAAGCAGCCTAATGAGGGCCAAATGAAGCTGCACTGTGGGGCTATCTTTAAATACTTGAATTTTTACCAAAAAACAATTAACAGAGTAACCTAAAAATAATCTTTGGTTGACTTTTAAATCAATTTTGATGCTTTAATTTGCCATTTAAGACACTTAATTTGCTTTCAGCCTTGGCCAGCTCCGCATGTTTGAATGTAGGTGTGTGTTTGCACAGCTACAGTTATGTGCGTTGGTTTTGTGTCTGTTTTATCTCTTGGTCTGTGTGTGTGTGTGTGTGTGTGTGTGTGTGTGTGTGTGTGTGTGTGTGTGTGTGTGTGTGTGTGTGTGTGTGTGTTTCTGTAGCTCCAGAGAAAAATGTAATAGTACACTGGGATCGTTGTGTTTTGTTTTTTTTTTTCACACACATGATTAATCTCTCACTGCAACGCCCTACAGCTGTTTATGCCTTTCTCGGCACATGATGGCAGGATGAGGCTAAACAAACT